TACAGGTCACACTCGCCACTTTTAACCGCTTACATGCTTGCGTTTCTTTGGCTAATGCGGCCAGTCCGCTAACAGTCATAAAAGTCACATCTGAATAACTTGAGCTGGCGCGCGCGTTAGCGTCGCGCTCGAGTGACAGCACAGTGCCCAATAAGCTGCACTTAAACTTTTGTGTACCAACAGGGATAACTACTGGAAGATTCGTTGGGAGGGGGGCGTGCGATTATCTCGTGAGCTAGTGAGGTCACGCCACTCACGTCGTGCGCGGCGATGTGGGGCGACAATTTCAGAGCTGCATTACCGTACACCTGAACTGTCACTGAAGCTGGGGATTTGCATTGGTTCACGGCATCTTCGAAAAGCATCACTCTGGGGACCGTAGCCCGATCCTTTCAACAAGTTGGACGAGCCATGAGGCAGTACAACTCGTATGCTGTAGCGGTGGCGTCGCCGCGTATGAGTACCTACCAGTGCTGCGACTTATGGTCAGCAGTGCCACACGATTGAATCGCTTAAAGGCAGTTGGCACGATAAATCCCCCAAGACGACTAGGATCAATACTCCTGGCAGGATAGAATTCCGCGACCCTGGGCAGGCGCTGCATAGCGGTTTCCCCGAGGAAGGTGCCCTTATAAGGGCCCTATCAAGCCACAACATTTACGTCCCAAACGCCCGCCACGCCCGCCCGCCCACAAATGGACGACCGTTCCTGACGCTCGTATTCATTCATTTGCTAAGCAAATTATGAAGCGAAGGGATTGGTATGAAGCGGCCTGCTGCATGCATACATGGGTACACATATGCAGCCGTATCTTCGGTAGCGGTGATTGGTAAGATGCCTACGGGAAACTCGTCCGAAATCGATTTACAAGTCACTGAGAACGGAGGCTTTTTCTTCGCAGGATTTTGACCGTTTCACTCCGTTCTTTCGCCATTTCCCCACTATACAGCGCCCTACTAGCATTTTAGGCTAAGTAGGAAACCATCGTGCCAACTGCCTTTAACACCGTTTGTTGACTGCCTGACATTTCGGTTTGGTTGTCCCATTCTGAGGGGAGACGGGAAACTCCACTGTCCCACTCACGTCGCGTGCGGCGAATCGCGCCGCAGTGTCAGACTTGCACCACCGTAGCCACACAAGTGGAGCAAGGGATTCGCTCTTGCTGACGGCTGTCCTTGATAATTAATTTGAACGAGGCGTAGGACAACACAACTCGGACGCGAAGGCTGCGGCCACAAGCCGCGTCCATCACCGGTGCGAAGCACAATAGAATCGCTACATACCCCCCCCCCTTCCCCACCCCCTCAGAGACCTGGTCCACTACCTCGAAGGTGGGCGATGTAACACTCTGGACTAGGCTCTTGAGCGAGACACTTATGGTTGGAAATACCTTTTTAGCAACCGCGGAGCAACCACTCGCAGCCAGGTATGCTGAACAACATACTTGACAATTTGTTCGTGATTCAAGCTGCCATTCAGCTCGTTTGATTGCTCGTTTTATCATGGTTCCATCCTCGTCAAAAGCTATCTTATTCCGTCGGTGATATTCTATCAACCCTGAACACATTCGGATCCCAAAGTAGTTATCGATCTCCATCCTGAGATTTCTGAATTACCTGAGACGAGCTTGAACCCGTACAACCGAACGTAGTACAATTTTGCTCGTCGACTGTACTTTATGGGGATATGCCGTAATTCCATGTCGTCGCGTTTATGCTTTTCCTCCTGGAAGATCGTCTCCGTTAAAAATTGAAATAGTATTTGTAAAAAGTGCAACACGTGTCGTCCGCAGCACCTGGCCCTATGCCAAGTGCGGGAGATGGGTCTCATGACCGCTCCATCAGCTAATGGGGGATCCGTGTGACTAATTAAGAGTTATGAATGATTTAAACCCCCGGAATGTGGGAACGACGGCAAGCGAGTCTCAGACGGCTATATATACCAGAGCACTTCATTCTCAAGCCTCCCTCGTCCAGAGCTCACAAGGGGTCGCCTATGGTTTGACACGAATTTTTCTATCGTTGATTTCTGCGATTATTTTTAGAGTATTTCATCGGAAGTCCCTTCATGTCGGGTCCCCGGCTGATGCCAGGTGGACATATGTTGAAAATACTCGTTGACCAGGGACACGTCTCGCCACTGGTGGAAAATTCTGTGCAAAGTGCCACCTTCACCCGAAAAACGCTGCGCTTGCGAAGTCAAACACGCACAAGCAGTTTTCTCCAAGACAAATACGACTCCCCTCCTCCGGCGACCGGTTGTGACTTCCTACCCCACCTTTCGCTGGGTGCGATGTGCCCTGATTGTGACGCTGCGCTTGGTATCCACGCCTTCATATAATCTTCGTCGCTGCGGATGCTGCGGCTCGTCAAAGAGCTGGTTTGGCGCTGCACCAGCCATTTCTCCTCCATTCGTTCGGCAGGGGAACGCGAGAGCACTAGGTGGTGAACGTGCTGGCGACCTGCCAGCCTGCCCTCCCCTCCCCCGCCCTCACACGCCCCAGCATCGGCAGCGGGCAAGACTGTTCAACATTCTTTCTTCAGTATTTTTCAAATTCAGTCTTTCTTCTCAATCCTCCCCTTCCCTCTCGCCCTATGACAGATTTTGAGGAAAAATGGAGAAATTTGTAGGAAAAGGGGTGTTAGAAAGTTGGGAAATTTAGGAAGATAGAAGGATGGGGAAGTAGTGGGATAGGGAGGAGACGGGAATGGAGTCGGTTGCACTGGCACCGTTCTTTCCCACGTACCTGCTGTACCCTGGTCTGAAAGAGCTTTAAGTGGTTGGAACACTATTGAGGCGCAGAGCTGCTCAGACCGTCAACAATCGCGCCGCATAGCAGGTTTGGGCCTAGAAAGAGATACGCGTGGCGCTCTTCGGCATTTCGGGAGGGGTGGAATTTCGCACATTTGCTACTTCCATCGACGTGTCGACCCATCTAGACAGCCTCTTCTCGAGTTGACAGGTTTTACCATGATGGCTTGACGAGCTTGCTCCAGCTTCACAAGAGTTCACAGGTTTCACCAGAGTGAGACTTGTAAACCGGTAGAGTGAAGCAAGTGTCCTCCCCCCGTCCACGAACTGCGCCGATTGTAGCTGGAGCTGTCCGCGTTTATAGAGACCTTTTAGTTTTGTCGGTAGATGTTCTTCAAGCATGGTGCTCCACACAGGGTACGGTTTGCAGGCCGTTGGCGTTGTTTAAACTGTCCTCGAATATTATCATTATGAGAGAGGTGCGCCAATGCAAATGGAAGTGCAAATGTGACCAAAGGGCCAAGACCTGCGCGCGTCACGCATTCCGTTCCTTCAGTCAGTATCTGCACAACTCACCTCGACTTCATCATCCGTTCGGGTGAAGTTTTTGTTCTTGTCTTCAGTCTGAATCAAATTTATACATGAAATTTTACAAATTCTCGTGTGACTAGTTTGATACTTCCTCGGGTTGGGCATAAGTCCTCGCTGTTTTATCATATGTTTGTTTTTTGTTTCGGAGATCGTACACCCTATATCCCGGACACGAGGTAGGCGTGACTGCGTACACCGCTTGAACGTAGGCATCTGCTTTTTTTTCTGTGAGAAATCGCCGTTTCGAGACGATTCTTACCATGCGTTGGCAGTTTCTGCTTATGACAGCATGACAATTGCGCTCAAAATTGAAATATTCGTTGAAAAACGCATCCTACATCACCTCCACTGGAAGTACGCAGCTACGCCCTCTCTGTCTTTAGGATATCGAGTTGCGTAATGAATGCAATCGTAATATAGGCCTTTCTTTGGTCTACGGGAACTTACATCTCTCTTCTCCATGCCTGGATTTTCTCCTAAATGCAAGGCTCGAGAAATGCCACGACGAAAAAAGCACTTTCACCCCCTTCCCCCTTTCCGGTCAAAAGGCGATCGAAAAGGCTTATCGAAATGGCTAGGCTCAGAAGCATTTTGTTCCTATACGGATAGAATTCTCTAGCCGAAGCACTGCTCGATATGAGTTTGGGAAGGCTAGGAATGGCGATGTCGCCCTGGCAGACAGGCCCGATCTGGATCGCGTTATTTAGTTGGATTTGGAAGGCTGCCGGCTGTTTCTTCGGAGCGAAGTACGAAGACCAACCACACAGAAAACACGCTAGCTAATCAAATATCGAATGAAAAGACCATTGACAAGGCCATCACCCTGCTTCACGACAACTCGACCTCACACCATTGAGATCATCATGTTGACACTCATGGAACTGGATTAGGAGCGTTACACAACAAACACCGTCAGTTCGGCGACTGGGAGTGGGGTATTTTGCACTTCTGCTGCTGCTTCCGGCATGGCGACCTGTCTAGACAACCTCCTCTTGAGTTGACAGGTATCGCCATGATGGCTTGACGACCCTGCTCTAGCTTCACAAGAGTTCACAGGTTTCGCCATAGTGAGACTTGTAAACCGAACCCAGGGAAGCAATGATAGTCAAAATGCCCCCCGTCGCCGAACTGCGCCCTCCATGCTTTGCCATGGCATTAAAAGAAAGATCTTTTGTGAGGTGTGAGATAGACAAGTGTCAGGGCTCCTCTCTTGACGGCAGACAAAAGGACCGCCTGCGCACTTACAGTCTCGCTGGCTACGGATGCTAAGTCGTGTTAGGGGGTGGCCTCAAGGCAGCGCCAGCCGATTCTCCAAAAACTGTTCAAGAGAGCAGGCTAAAACAATCGATGGAGCTGGCTGGCAACTCAAACCCATGACATGCCTCAGCATCCGCAACGAACAAGACTGTAGTCCCAATGATGTGCTCGCAGTAAAGTAAGGAAAGCCTACAACTGGTTAAATGATACCTTAGCGTCTTGACCTGGTAACGATTTCCGAACTGAGATAATAAAGTGTTCCTGAAAAAAGACCTATCGATCTCTCGAAGTTGAATATACCGCAAATCCCTGGGATGCGGTGGGAGTGGCCACTACATCTCATAGATTTGCGGTGGGCGTGGTACTTCATTTGGTCGCGGCGACAGTTGCCCTTTTGGTTGGACACTTTTATTCTTCAACCACTCTTATCACGTTTTTGTCCAACACCAGACAAAGTTGACATTTGTCTTGAATGAGAAATATCTCACGAAAAAGGTATCCTTTGCCATGGTCGAATGAAATACACAGCCACGCCCATTGTGCCTCACGGATTTGAATTGTATGTACATGCGGTCGTTCTCAACGCAGACGATGGGGCGTGTCAGGAATCTAACTTTGGCGCGGCGGTAGCCCTTTTTCCAGCAGTTGTTTGAGCGGGCAAGCGACAGCAATTGGTGGAAAACGGGCTTCGACCCTTCGGACCCAGCCCCCGGCACGCCCCAGCGACTGCAACAATAACGACCATAGTTGACGCTTTAGTATTTACCGCAGCAAATGTCTTCAATTCGAGTCGTACTGCTTGCCTCACGAGGAAATCGCCAACCTTCACAAGTAGATCGTACGTCTAAAACAGGTGTCTTGATATTTTGACTTCCACTGCGTTTTCGGCGCAGTTTGGCGACTGGGGGGGGGACTCTGCACTTTTGCTACTTCCCATCGACGTGTCGACCTACCGACCTCGACTTGACAGGTTTTAATATGGAGGCTAATGACCTTGCTCCAGCTTCACAAGAGTTCACAGGTTTCGCCAGAGTGAGACTTGTAAACCGGAACTAAGGAAGCAATGATAGTGCAAAATGCCTCCCCCGTCGCCGAACAGCGCCGAGTTTGTCAATAAGTCATGGCGTGTCCCTCCCCCGTAGTTCAGCATTTTGTATCAAAGGGATGCTCTGCATTTCCTATTATGTGATAGAGAACTTTGTGCCCTACGAGCCAGTTAGCACAATTTTTATGCTAGTTTGATTCTTGCTACTTTTTATGTGATTAAAATGGAGTGACAAGTGGGCGGCACTGAGCATATTCGACACCCTCTTCACTTTGCATTCAATTGAATTGCTAATGGTAAGGAAGGAATTGCACGTTCGCAAAATGCATCACAAAAGAGCAGTGCTTCTTAGAACGAGTCAAGATTGGCTTAATTGGATTATCGGGTTCAATTCTGGACCATCCAGTATGTATCAAGCAGAACCCTATCATTTCAGTGGAAAGGTGTTGAGCCAGCTATCCTCGAAGATCGTTGAATGAACAAGGAGTTATCAGACTGTCGAGCGTTACTGTGATGATCCCTGCAAATGACAGGGCGTTTGAAGGGGCGTGGCTAGGAGGCTGGCAACCAAGGCAGATTCCCACCAATGCCGTTTACAGAGGTCATCGCTGTGCCTGGAAGTGTCAAAAAATTCAATGTAGAGTCCCGCATGCAGTTGGTACTTATTAAACTCAACAGGCAGTCCTTTACGGCATGCCTATGGAGTCGTGATTTCCCATCTTTGAACAGCTTGAGCGAACTTCAAGAACAGAGTCTAGCCGACCCAACGAGTAGAAGTCCCTACCCTGCACAACGAGAGCGGTCGCAGAACGTATGCCGCCCTGGCAGCTCGAAAACGCTTGGATGCTTGCTGGTTCTGCCTTGCAGTCACCTGCTCCTTTTTATTTCGTTTCGTCTTAGCTACATAACGGCGGGATCCAGAGCACCTTGCACGTTGGGGATCCCCAGCGATGAAAGGTCGTATCTGGTCGCTAGAGGGAGGGGGGGTCTTACTTGCCCACTGGGGAAATTACCTTCTTTCGTTGGCTTTCTTAGGTTTTTTTCTGATTCAGTTTCGCTGTGTACCACCTCCCTACTACGCCCGCTCGACGACGTCGTAGAGGAGGAGGAGGAAGAGAAGGGGGTAGTGGAACCCAGAAAACTCTGCGACAAACCTCTGTAAGAGCGGTAGGAAGTTTGGACAAATCAGGATGACTGTCGATAGGATGGGGGAAGGGCAAGGAGGGAGGTCCTATCAGAGGAAGACATTTTGAGGCATTGCAAGCATTCTCCCCAGCCGGGGAAGTGCCATGGTGGAGTCTCTCGCTCTCGCCTAGTATTATTCTCTTTTCTATGTTAGCGCCTCTCCACCGTGAGGCTCACATGGTGCCTCGAGCAGTAGGGGTCTTAGCACGTTTTCAGCCCGTTTTGCTTTTTTCTCTCATTGCTGAACCACTTGCTTCCCCGTCATTAGTATTTTTCAACCCTGATTTAGCCCACAACAGCCACTGGGTCAGTATTTACGTCATTTCGGGAGGCTTCGCTTCTCCATTTTCTTCGACAGTCTTACTGCCTTATTGTTCCAATAAACTGCGAAAAGAAAGGGTCAAAACGCTCAGTTTTGTTGAATTGGCGCTCCGTTTTGTTATCTAAAAATCTACAAGAATTTGACCAACTCAAATCTGGACATATTGCATCCAACCTCTTTTCTTTGGGAAGCATGAAATTCTCTGTGAAATAATACGAACTAATTGGCAAAGTTTTAGAATTTGCCAGACTGTGAGACAGAAAAACACCACTTGAGGGCCCAAACAATAGTTTTCATTACATCTTGTGTGTCTTTGTGATCGGCAAAAGGGTGTGGGCGGCAGTATTTGGTGGATGTGAAGCGTAGAGATAGAGCTATCTTTTGCTTTTTTCTTTTACTATCTTTTTCAGTGATCTGTGCCCTTTAAGCCTATTAAGTGTTATATAGAGATCCGCCTACGCTTTGGATGCGTCGTTCGCCTGATTTTCTCTGCACTATCCGTCCGTATGGTATTCTATGCTCATTGCGACCTTACGTTTCCTTTCAGTTTCTCGCA